GACCATAAATTAGAGCAATAACTCTTATACTAGAGTTATAGGAAGTAGAACCAAATAATGTAGTTTGTTTAGTAGGTGGTCTAAAGTAAATAAAAAGACACCCACCCACGCATAACGAAAGTTATTTCTAACTGGAGTATTTTTTAAAAGTATTTTAGTTTATAGAAACGTGATAAATATATATCCTGTTTCTAATCCTCCATTTTTAGTTCAGTCTTCATATTCATATGAAAGACGTTTCAGGAAATATATAATTCAAATTTTCTTCATACAGTGAATCAGATATTCATATAATGATTCATTTTACACGGCTTATTAAACCATTCACTTGTGATTCCTTATTGAAATCCTACAGCACGCGTAGGCGCAATCATAATATAGTTTAAATGGAGCTCTCATTTTCTCAACTACTTTTAAGAATGGAAGCACAGATCGTAGAATTTATGGAAGGACATGGATTTCCCCGAAGCCTCTCCAGAACATTCAAACGAGACAATGTAATCCAGAAAACTGCATCACGACTACAACACCAATGCATTAAATATCTTGTACTTGATATAAACAGTTTTAAGATATACTTTTAGCCGCTATAGATCCAGCTCAGCTGATGAGTTCTGGCATTGATCGAAACGTCTTCTGGGTAATGGTTTATGGTAGACAAACAAAATAGAACTGAAATGCCACTTTTACACACCTTGGATTCGAAATCCTTGAAGGATTAATTAAGAGGAATGTGAGAAGAAGACATATCCTTATTATTTGTCGCTTGTCATATAAACAGATTGATAAGCAATATGGTATAAGCTTATGCGGGTTATGGGGTATATAAACTTCCATTTAAATTATGCGTTATGCTACCATGCATACTTTAATCTAATACTTACGCAGCTTTTGAATATGATACCATTCATTATATGTTAATAGGAGAACGTTTGTATGTATATATCACAATAAGTCTTTCTAGACACGGAGATATAGTTACAGTGCATATTATGACGAGCATATTTATGTATCAGTTACACACATATGTATATGTAATTACCCACACACACACACAAATATACATAATACGCGCAAAAGATTCCAAATACTTACTATGACGATTAATATAAAAAGTAAAACCTGCATTAAGAATGGTAAAAATTTTCCATTTTCAGTTTATAAGACTAGTTTGAATAAAATAGGCATAACATTTAAAAATGTTAATTTATTTTAAATATATACTTATTTTATTTAGCGTAAAAAGTATACGCACACACACATATATATACATTTAATTTTTAATTTCTTTTACTTAATGTTAGTGGAATAAAAAAATTTAAATTCTTCACAGTCACACGAACTAGGATACAAAAATCTAAAGCTATGGAAATTTCGTGCAATTCAACGTGAAGAAAAAATCACTTAATATCTTAGCATACAGCGCATGCATTATTCATAAAAGTGGACGGTGACTTGGGCGTATTAGCTAAATAATTCACTGTTAAAGGTTAACATGTTCACAGTTTTGATAATCGTTAACATGCACACAAGATATTTCTGTAAACTTTTTAACAATTTATTGACGATGTTAAGATTACAACAGTTATAAAATACTGGATGAAAGATACGTTGTTTGATGTAAAACGATTATTTTAATTTAATTTTAACAATTAATTGATGGTGTTAAGATTGCAAAAGTTATAGAATAACTGGATGGAAGAAATATTGTTTGCTGAAAAACGATTATTGTTTTCTGTATGAAGGTGTTAAAGTACATCCCAGAGATTAGTATTGTTTGCTGAAAACCGATTATTGTTTTCTGTATGAAGGTGTTAAAGTACATCCCAGAGATTAGTATTGTTTGCTGAAAAACGATTATTGTTTTCTGTATGAAGGTGTTAAAGTACATCCCAGAGATTAGTATTGTTTGCTGAAAAACCATTATTGTTTTCTGTATGAAGGTGTTAAAGTACATCCCAGAGATTAGAAAGTATCATTGCTTAAAATGCAACCACAAACTTTAAACAAAGTAGTTTATTAAAGCTCAGGACTGAGTATTTAGTGGACATTGTCTCGAACATTTGAGTCACATAGAAACAAATACCATCCAACAGCACATAACACAGTTATGACCCCATAGAATGAGAAACACGGGGGTTAAAATGGAACAAAATAATATTAACCAGTAAACTTTTCACAAACAATAATAACCATGTTTAACAATTTATCAAAAAAATGTTTATAGATGTGTTTAACAATTTTCTACAAAATGATAATTCATAAGTAAACTTTCTTCAGTTTTGATCCCCTGTTACCACATATAAAGAGCAGAAAAGTCAATATCATGATCAGGATCGAAAAAATGTATGCTCAGTCTCATAATATGTTTCCGGTCTGCTGTAATATATATCAGAATATGATTGGAATAATCCGATCTTGTTAGCATGAGAAGTAACTGCTGATGAAATCTTTCTTGTGAATAAACGAGGTCATTGAAAAAACACAGAGAGTTAGATTATATATTGACCAACATATGATACAGGTCTATACTTGGGATGTCAAATTCAGCTCTGTTCCGTAAGTATACAATAATTCTAACCAGTTGTTATTGAATGGAAAGTGATCTTGAAAGGGAAGTGAATGATAACTTTAATAACTTATAAAAAGAAGATCTTTTCACGCCTGAAGTATTTTCTCCCCCCTCTTTCAATAAAATAGATTAGTCCACTTGATGTAAAAGTGCGTGTAATATCTTCTTTTTCTATCATATTGAAATCATAAAAATCCAATCTCGAAGCATACGATTTTAGCCGTGGATATCGAACTTGATGTGTTATCTATTCAACGCCACGATCACGTATGAAATAGGTGCTTAAAGACAGAAAGCGCCATTATCTAAAAGCCCATGGTAATGAAGATCATAGGAAATGATGTTTCTCCACAGTAAACTACTCACTTATTCAAATTCAGTTTGTTTGTTTTTTTGTTGTTAATAGAACTAGACATTTCTGGAACGATATTACTTATAACACGAAACCTAGAATTTTGCGAAACAGTATAAGAAAATATTTTTTTGTTACAAACCAGAGGAAAACTTAATGTATTATTTTAATTTTAATTTCCTAGATAATCTAATCTTTTACACCTTTAAAAAGGTTAATTATTTCTTGCATTTTGATTTACGTTAATCATTACAGTTTAAAATCACCAGACGAAGGCCATCCAGCCCGAAATGTTGTGAATATTAAAACATATTTTTTCGTGGTATAAGTTTTCCATTTTTTTGTTTTCAACAATATTGTTATATAATACATGTTGTAAAGCTGAATGTTAACTATAGGAAGTTTTCATGCATTTGAAAATTCAATCCAAATTAAGTTCATTCCTCACTAAATGCCCATAATGTTCAAAGGAAGTTTTTGGATTGCTGAGCATTCTTCATTTCTGGAATAAGTTAGATATGCCTTTTGAAAGAGGTCAATACATATTGTTGGGCTTGACGTGGCCTAATGATGAGCGTGCCTGTCTTTGAATCCAAGGTTTTATGGGTGTCCTAAAATCGCGCTCCACAGTTTGGGGTAGTAGATGTTATCAAAATTGACATTGTGTGTACGCCTTTCAGAAGCTGACGAAGAATGATTCCAATTATACTTGTCATAAGAGATTAGTGTTAGGTCCATTACATTTTTAAACACTACAACCTTTATCCGATCCCTTAAGTATTTTCAAGGATTAAAATAGTGTATAATAATAGAACTTCCACCACACACACACACACACATTATCCGTCATATCAGTTGCCGACGACATATTTCGCTCAATGAAAAGCTTTTAGAATTGACGACAAAATCCCATTATTCGATTAAAGTAATCCAAGAGTTGGCGGTAAGTGCTGTTGACTTGATGACTTTTCTATAGTCTGTCAGTTTGTAACGGTTAGAGCAGCCAACTTTTGTTAGCTTGGAGAGAATATCCGAAACAAGCAATCATCTTTTTATATTCTACAACTGAAATTTTTATCAAGTTATACGAATCTTTTTTCAATAAAACTTTAAAAGGCTCATTTTTTGTGATAAGATCAGATTATAAAATTATTTTTACATGATCTCGTTATCTGATCATTTAATCTGTTTTGATGACTATTATCGCCGCTACGATATAATATTATCATTATAATAAATTATCTTTTTTTAAGTTAAAAAAATTCCACACAGCTAGTAGTATCCTAGTTTCGGCGTTTTCTAAGTGATATATAATTATTTTAGTGCAGCAACTATGATAAAGTAGCACTGCAAAAAAATAATAACATCTAACATTTCACTCTTTTTCACACCTTACGTTGTGGAATCATCTAACTTTATACTATATATGAGAGGCGTAATGTTGGGTTCAACAGTGGAGTGGAGAACGGAGGATGACGGTGCTTCTCAACTGTGTGAATGGTTCACCCAGGAATTAATGAGATCAGTATCAGGGTGAACGAGTATTATCAATTATACAATAAATTCAAGAGCAAAAAAAGTCATTAGTTATTATTATTTATTCTTTTTGTAGTTTGATAAATACATTTATTTTTTGTTTATCCTAGTTGTAGTTTGATAAATACATTTATTTTTTGTTTATTCCTAGTTGTAGTTTGATAAATACATTTATTTTTTGTTTATTCTAGTTGTAGTTTGATAAATACATTTATTTTTTGTTTATTCTAGTTGTAGTTTGATGTATATTTAAATCATAATAAGGAATTTTGCATTTTAATTTAGTAATTTTTGTCTTTTTCGAACTGGGGTGAGGGAGCTGTTGTGAAAAACTTGAAGGGGTGAATGAATGATATTGGAAAAGGTTGAGAAGCGGTAGGTTAAAGGGTACGTGTTTTTTTTTCTTTCTTACAATACATTATACATTTGTTAGGACTAATAGGGTTAGTAAGTAAAAGCCTGTAATCGAAAAAATATACTATTAATGTCGAAATATGACCGAAATAATTATTATTTAACGAAAAAGGAAGGAAGACCTACCCTATAATTGCCCAGATTTTCCACGATGCAAGGGAACTCCACGTCTCGTCCAGCCGGAACTGTCACATTTGGAATAAGTTCGGCAAATCTCGGCTTGATTTCGTTGCAATGCCCTGAAGGAACAAGTTAACTTTAAGAGGGTGTTCATACTAACCTCATCATTGTTCATGTAACTTTGAGATACAGTTCATATTAATTTTAACACTGTTCATAATCTTCAAGGCACTGTACGTACTATCTTTACGACGCTGTACATGTTAACTTTAACACTGTTCATATTAACTTTAAAACTATTCATACTAGCTTTAAGACACTATTCGTATTAACTTTAACATTGTTCATATTAGCTCCAACAATGTTCATATTAACTACAATATTTTTCTTATGATTTTAAGACCCTGTACACAATAACTTTAGAACACTGTTTGTATTAACTATAAAATTTTTCTTATGACTTTAAGACACTGTACATAATAACTTTAAAACACTGTTCATAAGAACTTTTCGAATTAACTTCAACATTGGTCATACCAACTTTCACACTACTTATATTAATTTTAAGACAATACTCAAATCAACTTTAAGACAATGTTCATTTTAACTTGAACATTGTTCAAACCGTATTTGAAAAACTAAGTATACTCTTTAAAAAAACAGTGAAACGATTTAATATTTAAGATAATAATATAAAATATGTGTCTGTAGAGACACTTACCTTAAGAAATTTTAAAAAGTGTAAATAAAAGTAATAATAGAATAACACAAAAGAACGTTGTCTTTATGAAAAACAAATTTATGCTTCTCTGCTGAGTTTCCCGTACTGCTGGAATGAAGAACGTTTCTAATC